TACAGACTAACCTAATGACATATAACAGTGTTGGTGTTAGTACCATCAATAAGTTTGTTATACTTACAGACTAACCTAATGACATATAACAGTGTTGGTGTTAGTACCATCAATAAGTTTGTTATACTTACAGACTAAACTGATGACATATAAGAGTGCTGGTGTTAGTATCAGCATTTTGTTTGTTCAGTGCTTTTAGGTTACCAGTATGTTATAATGGACATGAACGTTGCTTTCAGAGAACAAGACTTTCTTCAACGAGAGGAATATTACATTCAGCAACATGAAGAGAAGGACCAGGAATATAATGCCCTGTTGAAAATACTAAAAGATAGGGTAATTACACCTGTAAAAGTTTGTAGTATAGTTAAGATAAGTAAATGACTTTTTGAAACAGTTACACTATGAATGATGAAAAAAAACACACAATATTAGGTGCAGAAGTTAGTGGCAAACCACAGTAAATGGAACATGCTGTCAGAAGAATTGAAATTGGAGAAACTAGTTTCGAACAATCGTGCATCCTCTTCAGTCTCACAACAATAACTGAAGGGGTGCATTGATGTGTTAAAACTGGATGGCTTAGTTTCTGAATCATCTAAATTTTAGGTGTGCATACAGCAAACTTGTATGTTTAAGATTAAAGTAGCTAGTGAATGTTAGTTGTTGTTCTTAGGCTGCCATTGAGAACATTCTTTCAAATAAATATTTGGATTTTTTTTGTTGTATCAGTTTATGATTAGAATAAAAACAAACTGTTAGTTAAGAGACAATTCTGCTCAGTCATAAGACAAAAGTAAATTTGCAAAGATGAAATTGTGGTCTTGAAGACTTTATTTATGTAGAACTCTACTTTTAGAATAAAGTTATTTACATCACTGTCTTTGTTCAAAATTACATTTATACTTTCATGGTGAAAATAGTGAGTGTTAAAATGGGTTTTCATTATTTGTCTAATCAAACTTATAATTTTTCTTTTATTATTTTATATTTAACAGTTCTATTAAAGCATGAATATCACATATTTTGTTAGTTTTTTGATTACAGACAGTTAATTGCATTTTATAAAAACAATGTTTTAGGTTTATGCTGTTCTTGAAACTATTTCAGTCAGGCTTAGTCTAATGGGTGTGATTATGCACTATTGCCCAACACCAAATTTTTGTTGTTATAAGCTCTGCTTGTGAAGAAAGGATGGGTCAATCTTTTATCACACATTTTGACAGATCTTGTACATATCTACTTACGTGAACATCAGCTTTTAAAACAATGTTTAATTAGATAAAAAAGACAAAACTTATTGTAGCTGCATCAGAGAATTTAAAATTATCTTGTGGAATGAAAATGCTGAGTCTCTGGTTTTTTCTTTATTTTTTAATTATTTTTTTTATGACGATAGCCATTGGATTCAAGAAATCACTGGAAAACTGTGAACTTTTGATTATAAGCCTTTACAATTTCAAATACTCATTTATTACAAACAAAAGTACCCATTCCCAGTGAAGGGAAAAGTTTAAGTTAATCTATTAATTTATTTCATGGACTTTAAAAAGGTTACTTGTGTTGCACTCTTGGTTTCACTCAGAGCTACTTATACTGTCCACTGCAAAAGCCCCCAGTAGCACAGCGGTATGTCTGTGGGCTTACAACGCTAGAAACCGGGTTTTGATACCCATGGTGGGCAGAGCACAGATAGCCCATTGTGTAGCTTTGTGCTTAACTTCAAACAACAACAACCACTGCGAAAAGTAATTGTTGAGCATTTCAGTCATGCCAAGAGCTGCTCAACAATAACATACGGTAAATCTACATTTTCATTCTTTAACTTACATAACATTTTGAAATGTGAATGATAGTGTGATTAATTCCTGACAATTTAATTTAGAATATCCTGCTTCCGAAATAAAAATTGACATCAACCTTATTCATGTCTGTTCTCCAGTCATTTCAGAAGTGAATGTTGAGCTTTGCCTGCATGTGCAGCTTTTCAAATGGAAGACAGACACCACAGTTCACAATATATATATAAGATTTTCTTAATGCTAACACTAGATATACCCAGCTTCATTTTTGAAGATAGGTTCCTGATTGCTTGCTGAAACTAACCAACTCTCAGTGTGTCACTCGTTTAACGTAGATAATTTTACAGTGTAACAGATGATTTCTAATCTTTTTTATTAAACCAACATTTTAAAGGTGATCCTCCTTGAACAAAATCTGATGGAGACACAGCATGTTGCAGGCCTTCCTGTTAGTCTGCCATATGATGATACTATCAGGGTGTCCACACCACAGATCAACAAGAAGTATCAATTATCAGCAGACAACAGAAAAGGTATTTCTTGTTTATCAGAGTAGTGTGATGAATCTGATATCAAAAATTGTTTCAGAGAATGTTAATTAAGCCTTTTATTTTGAGTAGATGACTCACTAAATTCAAGATGTATCTCATAAGCTCTGAAGTTGTTTTATAGCTGCTATTTTGTTTATAGATTACAAATATGGCTTTGAATGCCATTCAGTGAATGATAATGTCTAATGAACAAGTTTATTGTATTTTCTTTTTGAGAGGTATATGTATAAAGTTGGTTCAAACAGCTTTCCATATGAATACTGCATTTGTTTTTTGATCAATACATTTTATCTCCTAAAGTGAGATGCGTCTGCTTGCAGTATTTGAAGTACAAATACATTCAAATTATGTATTTGGTTGAAATTATATTTAATTTAAACATATTTGTACTTTGAATCGAATATTGTCTTGTCTCATATTTAGAGATAAAACATTGTATTCAAGAAATATGTGTAGTATTCCCAACAAAAGCTGTTTCAAGAGCTTTATACAAGTCTGTTGTAAAGGTTTGACTTGGGAAAAAGTATAGTCCGTGAACATATCATTATGTAAGAGAAACAAAACTATGAAACCTCGTATGATTGAAACTACAATTGACAGCTAATGGTACTGTGAACACTGTTGTTTGCTAGTAAAATAAATAGCTATTAGTAATTATTCTAACTTAAATATCTTGGTTAAAGTTCTAAGAAATAAAAGCGTTATTTTTGTTGCTCAATATGTGTAACTCAAACACCATTGTTGCTAAATCATAAGATTATTCAACTAAAGAAGGGGTCATGGTAGTCCACGTCCTACTTAAATTACTATATACTTTTTTCAACTTAGAAATGTAAACATTTCTGTACATCTTACTGTTGCTCTGTTCTGTTTAATAAATTTTTCGAATGCTGAAAGAAATACCTATTAGAAAATAACTAATAGCAGGTGAATGATAGAACTGAATTGCTATTTCTTTACACATCTGTTTTTATAATGTATTTTACAATGAAAGAAAATGGTATATAATATATAGAATGAAATGAGATGTTTTACCACCTGCAGTTTTTTTGTTTCTTATCAGTTTTTGTAAGTAATTTCTCTTATAAATGATTTAGAACACATGGTAAGACTAAAATTTTATTCTTTGACTTGATAATAGTTTCGTGGTTTTTGGAACTTAACAGTGTTACTGTAGTATAAAACATAATTGTACTTTTGCAGTAAGGAAGCTGGAGGTGGATGTGTCAGATTGTGAATCATCTGATTCAGACCTCAATAAGTATGAAATCAGCCCAAGTGAGGAAGACTCAAACAGTACAAAGATGGCCACAATGGAAAGACGGCTGTGTCCAGAAGAGGCTTTCAAAGCCATGCCTCAAACAGAACTCTTAGACAGCAGTCTAGCCAAAGCTAAAGCTGAATTAGCGAGTAAAGGTAGCCTTGCTAATAGACAGCCTCCATCTCTGAAAAAACAATCCAGCATTAGTAGCACAGAAGGAGGGGTTTGTATCTGGATTTTTCTGTTTTTCTTTTGTTTATTTGTGTTTGTAAGCTAGTTTGTAACCAGTAGAAAATGGATTTAGTCTCCAGGCTTCTCATGAACTTATAAAACCTATATTTTTTGAGAAAATGAGCTATAAAACTTCTAAATTTTTTTTTTTTATTCAACTATTCTGAACCAAATATCCAGGTGAATTGGTGTTCTGGTGAGTTATTGATTGGCTAGCAATATTTACTGCTCTTCTGGACGGAAATTAGATATATATATATATATATATATATTAACATTTCACTAATTTTCAGTTTAATTTTTTTTTTTCTAGTACAGTACAATCGTCAATAACCTTTGGACCAGTTCACAGGCTTTTTTTTCCCCACCTAGTCAGTGACATAACCTAGAATATATTTTAAAGTTTGATTCAGTAAATGAATATTAGGTGTGTACTGTTTATTAAAACATTTTTATTTTTACAGCCAACTTATCCAGCTGAGCTTGAGAGTTCTGGTAGTGAAGAAGACATTTTAAGGTAAGACTCTCATACATATGTAGGTTTCATTTTGTTTTAAAATTTAAAAACTGTTTATTGAAAATGTAGACACTAGGATGGGATATGAATGGTATTGTATCTCAACTCCTGTATCTCTTGGAAGATGAATAACCACCACTGTTACATACAGTACTATAATTTAACCCCCTTCCTGTTGCTAAATGGGTACCTTTTTTTAAACGCCCAAACTACTTGGTCACTGTGCTCTTTAAACAAGCTTGGGGCATGATGGTGTGTAAAACAAAATATGTGGCTTAACTAACTAATGAATGAATATTTGCTGTCAAATTCTTATCAAAGCTATAAGTGTAACTACCAGTTTGGCCACTAATTTTGATTTCATTCCTTTAAGTTGCACG